TAGGCGAAAAAAGTTCGAACATACTCATGTAGAAGTTCTTAGAACTAACCTGGATTGTAAAAGAAAGATCTCACCAAGTGTTAGCCACTCATTAAAAACCAATTTTAGGGTTGAACCAAAATAAAATGACCCAAACCTTAATTTAAAGATTAATCCAAGATATTTTCATTCCATCGTTAGCAGAATACTCATTTCCTACCTCGTCGAATACCTGAAAAGCTTAGGTGAAAAAAGTTCGAACATACTCATGTAGAAGTTCTTAGAACTAACCTGGATTGTAAAAGAAAGATCTCACCAAGTGTTAGCCACTCATCAAAAACCAATTTTAGGGTTGAACCAAAATAAAAAGACCCAAACCCTAATTTAAAGATTAATCCAAGATATTTTCATTCCATCGTTAGCAGAATACTCATTTCCTACCTCGTCGAATACCTGAAAAGCTTAGGCGAAAAAAGTTCGAACATACTCATGTAGAAGTTCTTAGAACTAACCTGGATTGTAAAAGAAAGATCTCACCAAGTGTTAGCCACTCATCAAAAACCAATTTTAGGGTTGAACCAAAATAAAATGACCCAAACCCTAATTTAAAGATTAATCCAAGATATTTTCATTCCATCGTTAGCAGAATACTCATTTCCTACCTCGTCGAATACCTGAAAAGCTTAGGCAAAAAAAGTTCGAACATACTCATGTAGAAGTTCTTAGAACTAACCTGGATTGTAAAAGAAAGATCTCACCAAGTGTTAGCCACTCATTAAAAACCAATTTTAGGGTTGAACCAAAATAAAATGACCCAAACCCTAATTTAAAGATTAATCCAAGATATTTTCATTCCATCGTTAGCAGAATACTCATTTCCTACCTCGTCGAATACCTGAAAAGCTTAGGCGAAAGAAGTTCGAACATACTCATGTAGAAGTTCTTAGAACTAACCTGGATTGTAAAAGAAAGATCTCACCAAGTGTTAGCCACTCATCAAAAACCAATTTTAGGGTTGAACCAAATAAAAGACCCAAACCCTAATTTAAATATTAATCCAAGATATTTTCATTCCATCGTTAGCAGAATACTCATTTCCTACCTCGTCGAATACCTGAAAAGCTTAGGAGAAAAAAGTTCGAACATACTCATGTAGAAGTTCTTAGAACTAACCTGGATTGTAAAAGAAAGATCTCACCAAGTGTTAGCCACTCATCAAAAACCAATTTTAGGGTTGAACCAAAATAAAATGACCTAAACCCTAATTTAAAGATTAATCCAAGATATTTTCATTCCATCGTTAGCAGAATACTCATTTCCTACCTCGTCGAATACCTGAAAAGCTTAGGCAAAAAAGTTCGAACATACTCATGTAGAAGTTCTTAGAACTAACCTGGATTGTAAAAGAAAGATCTCACCAAGTGTTAGCCTCATCAAAAACCAATTTTAGGGTTGAACCAAAATAAAATGACCCAAACCCTAATTTAAAGATTAATCCAAGATATTTTCATTCCATCGTTAGCAGAATACCATTTCCTACCTCGTCGAATACCTGAAAAGCTTAGGCGAAAAAAGTTCAACATACTCATGTAGAAGTTCTTAGAACTAACCTGGATTGTAAAAGAAAGATCTCACCAAGCGTTAGCCACTCATCAAAAACCAATTTTAGGGTTGAACCAAAATAAAATGACCCAAACCCTAATTTAAAGATTAATCCAAGATATTTCATTCCATCGTTAGCAGAATACTCATTTTCTACCTCGTCGAATACCTGAAAGCTTAGGCGAAAAAAGTTCGAACATACTCATGTAGAAGTTCTTAGAATAACCTGGATTTAAAAGAAAGATCTCACCAAGTGTTAGCCACTCATCAAAAACCAATTTTAGGGTTGAACCAAAATAAAACCCAAACCCTAATTTAAAGATTAATCCAAGATATTTGCATTCCATCGTTAGCAGAATACTCATTTCCTACCTCGTCGAATACCTGAAAAGCTTAGGCGAAAAAATTCGAACATACTCATGTAGAGTTCTTAAACTAACCTGGATTGTAAAAGAAAGATCTCACCAAGTGTTAGCCTCATCAAAAACCAATTTTAGGGTGAACCAAAATAAAACCCCAAACCCTAATTTAAAGATTAATCCAAGATATTTTCATTCCATCGTTAGCAGAATACTCATTTCCTACCTCGTCGAATACCTGAAAAGCTTAGGCGAAAAAAGTTCGAACATACTCATGTAGAAGTTCTTAGAACTAACCTGGATTGTAAAAGAAATATCTCACCAAGTGTTAGTCTCATCAAAAACCAATTTTAGGGTTGAACCAAAATAAAATGATCCCAAACCCTAATTTAAAGATTAATCCAAGATATTTTCATTCCATCGTTAGCAGAATACCATTTCCTACTCGTCGAATACCTGAAAAGCTTAGGCGAAAAAAGTTCGAACATACTCATGTAGAAGTTCTTAGAACTAACCTGGATTGTAAAAGAAATATCTCACCAAGTGTTAGCCACTCATTAAAAACCAATTTTAGGGTTGAACCAAAAGAAAACGACCCATACCCTAATTTAAAGATTAATCCAAGGTATTTACATTCCATCGTTACAAGAATACTCATTTCCTACCTATTTTTTTGAAAAGGTAAGTAAAAGGGTGGTTTCTCATTCCCAATGCAGATTGAATAGCCGATTATATCCTTTTATTACATTGGTAGTTGCAACAGATGAAAGGAATCTCTATGCCATCAATCAACACACAAGAAAAGTAAGAAAATAAGGACAAAATTAAAGAAAAAAATCATCAGCCAAAAGCCACTCCAAATGGATCAAATTTAAGGAGACCTCCTGATTTTGAATTGTGTATATTTTCTGATGCTTTAATGTGAGTACGACTATGAACTTATTAAGTTCTCAATAGCCTTTTTCGAGACCATTTAATTGAAATAAGTTATTTACATTTGAGAAGTTTCATGAAGCTTATTCGAGTTTAATCTAGGTTGTTTAAACTAATGTCAAATTTATGAAAGTCTATTTCTATCCAAAATAAGAACATCCACCATCGTACTGATGTAACGACAACCAATAAAGATCCGGAGAAATTTCCTAGTGGACCCATAATTCATGCCACGGCAAAAAGGTTTCAAGAAACCATGAAAATGTGTTTTATTTGAGCTGAAACTTGAAAGTTGGAACACCAAATCCGATAGGGGCATTGCAATCTTCTACTTGTGCAAGAGTTTGTATGAGCATTCATAAATTGCATGTTTTTTTACATGGTAGTTTATTTATTGCACATGAATAAAATAAACATGCTAGTTCGTTTAAGCATGTTAGATCATTAAAGCATGTTTAATTCATTTAAGCATGTTAATTCATTTCAAGCATATTAGTTCATTTAGGCATATTAATTTTAAATATGATGGTTCGTTTAAGTATGTCAATTCATTTAATTAAATTGGTTCATTTAATTAAAACGTTCTTTCAAATTTGCATGGCATTTTATTTCATTCTTATATTTTAGTAAGCATGAAGGTTTTCTATAGGTATGTACAGATGCACTTTCGGTTGAGTATGAAACTTAGATCAAAAGGGATTGTTTGAATTCTTTAAGGATGACAAGCATTCAAGGATTTCATTATCACCATTTAAAAAAGACCTTTCGGATTCTAAAAGAAAGAAAGCATTGAATGACTTTGTTATTCATCTATTCACATTAAAGGAAAATAAACTAGCTGAAATATCAAAGGATACGCCCTTATGGACGCATGGATATTTACATTTATCCTTAAGATGTCTACATTCATCCTACAACTCATCTTAGGAAACCAAACTTCGGAAGCTCAAAGGTTTTTTCATGTGGACAAATAAGTGTCTATATTCAACTTAGAATTATCCCATTCATCCTAGAATTTCATCTAAACTATTCATCACCAAGAAGAAGGAATGACAAGGTATTAGGAGTCTTCGTACCATTAAGGTGAAGACTTAATTCTTTGTTGTGACTTTCAACTCCAGTCTTAAACATTATAAATAGGCATCATTCTTTCTCATTTTAAGTACAACTTTAATTTATAAAATCATTTGAGTGTTTTCTTTCCAAGATTTTCAGTAACTTTATCAGCTTTCAAACTTAGTTTTGTGACACGTCTATTCCATTTGTTATATAGTTGGTTCATAATTCTTTATAATTGGAGGTCACTATCCATCCACCATATCTTTTCATCCCATTTTGTTATATCATTAGTTCTTAGTTTTTTATAATTAGTGTATCACAATCCGTTGTCTTTCACATGGGTTCGAGAACTTGTAAAGTTTGGATCTTCACTCTTCTTAATGTTAATTCTTTTTTGTTCTCCCGCCAACCTTAACTTACACCACCCTTATTCCATAACCATTATTTCCATCATCTTCTATATCTCTCTCATCAAATTTATCATCTCGTCATTTAAATCTCGTCTCTACCATTTACAAGTCATATCTATTTTCTTTTGAATTTAACCTTTTTTATCAGAACTTATTAAAATCACAACCGGACAAATCGCACATATAATTTGACAATCTTCATTCTTCACAATCAAATTCATATCATACTTCCACAATATATCTGACAATCTTCACAATCGAATTCATATCATACTTCCACAAGATTGAGACGATTTCTTGTTGTTCATCATGTAGAAGATATCTTCTCAATTTATCGCATTTTCTTAGATACCCCATTGTCCGATTACAGTTGACTCTGCAGTAAGCCGGTCTTTCTAGCACAAAACCGAACAGCTAGGAGGTGACTTGCTCATAAGGTAGGCGGCAAGCAATTTCTTGTTAATTCTAGATTCTCAATCTGCATAGTTTAAGATATTAATTTATTTGAAAAGCAGACTGCACTATGCCTGATGAACTTGGATGTGAAACTCTGGCATGTTTGTGGTTTCCAGAACAGATGTGTGGATACCTTAAGCCCAAAAGGGGTGCAATTTATGTTAGGTACTTCTACTATCAAGATTCTTTTCCTGTCCTTTTTTTATACATAAAGAGCTCTTTACATGCCAAGATTTGTTCGTACAGTCGCATTATATTCATATATATATATATATATATCATCAGAGGTATTCACTAGCTGAAGCTCCCAGCTTTTGCTATATTCTATGTATAATAAACCTTGAGAGCTACACAATGTACAGTGTTCTTTCTTCCTACAAGGTAAGCAACAACATTATTTTCGTACAGTTCTTACCTGTCTAAGAAGATATGTAGAAGAACCATGGCCATTAGAAATCACGGGAAGATTAAAGCAAGGGGAAAGCTTCACACACAGATTCTGTTAGCTTACATGTCCCTATACCGACTTAAGACGGGTGCAGAGACTGAGCAGCAATTCTCCTTTCTGAAAATAATGCAAAATCAGTGTTAAAAGGACTTCAACGTATGTAAGTCAAGTTTGGAAGAAAAGAGTCAATAACTTTTGTATCGAGCTACTGCTATAGTAAGAAACCACGAAAGACAAGGAAGAATCCGAACCTCCAGCACAACCAGTTCTCTACACGCACAACAATATGCTTCCCATAAGTGTACTTCTTCAATGCGTTTAAATGGACCTTAATTCGAGAAAGGATCAGCCCCCGTTGCTGGTCATCACAAGTCTCTAGCACTTTCTGTACAACGTAGTTCGCAAACTGATCTTTCATCATTGCCTGGGATGGACAAATAGCTCAGTAGAAATGAGATGGATGCCATGAAATTCTACCGGAACTATCTCCAGAGACGATTAACAAAAGCTAAATCCTGAGCACACTGCAATCAATATATATATATATATATAGCACATGATATGTAAAATTTTAAGAGTTTTCTTAAACTTTATTAACATTCATACGTGTATGATGGTTGATCCCAGAAGCAAAATGCACCTAAAGTATGATACGAGTGTATGCACACTTTCTCTCCAACAAAAAAGATTGCCATAATCAGCCAAACCAAATTAAAAATAAAGGCATCGTGGTTCATGACTTTTCTCCATTGATACGAAGAAAGGTAAAGTATTTTCGGCATTTTTCTTTTCAAACACGAGAAGACTTAAAACCGGATAGTATTTCTGTTCACAAAATATATCTGCAGAAAATACAAACCTGAAGAGGCTCATTCTCATCAGTAGAACCAAGCATTTCATTCACCAATAGCTGACGCTCAGCAGGACCACCAAAAGTTAAGCACTTCTCGACAACATTAGATGCAAACTTCTGCTGACTCATCTGGACAATCTTTCCAGCTAGCTCCTTAATTATGATTGAGCGCTCATGAGGTTTTCCATGCTCCAGTACATGCTGTAGATGTCATTTAATGCATCACTTAGTACAACGAATACAATAGAAATGTTTAGTAATGTAAATCAACAAATTTCAAGTATAAACTGTAGAAAACTAAGCAAATACAACAACAATTGTGGACAGTATTTTAATAGACATGAATGCAAAAGAGTGAAGACCCAAAGCAGATTCAGTAGATTCCTTCAGCACCAACAGATCCAAAAAAGAATGACAAACCTGGACAACGTAATTGCCATACTGGTCTTGCGCCAACAGACTGACGGATCCTAAAATCTCATCCATAACCTTACTTTGTGTTTTGGGGTCCTTGCAGTGCTCCAACATTCTCTGCACAAGTAGAAATAATAATACAGAACACACATTGCTCATTTACATGGAACGGTTCTAGTGGTCTCTCTATATATATAATATATATATATATATACAAGTACTGAACCTGTATAACTCGGCACCCATATGATGTGGAAAGTGTCACAACTTGATCAAAAAATGCAGTGACTATGAATTGAATGTTTTCCTCCGGAACACATTCGATACATTTCTGGACCACATGGTTGCCATTTTGATCTCGTACACACCGCATAACACTACCATCAAGCTCATTAACCATGCTAATCTTCTGATCCAGACGACAACCTATGGCCTTGAATGATAAACAAAGCATAGACATAATTGTCAGAATGTTGGGCGGTATTCTTCGAGTAATAGCATGAGTGCTTTTAGGAAATCCATATAAAAACCAGGATAAGGTGATAACAAAATTCAGCACAACTACCGTGATTGAAGCATAGTTAGCACATGTTTACAAAATAAACATTAGAAAAAAGGATATAGAATTTTTATATAAATGGTTAGCATAGCGTAACCAACGTGGACTTTTTCACTTAATCAATTAAAAAATTGGGCTGATCATTTTGAAAAGAAACAGCAAAACAATCATGATGAAGCTTGATCAGTAAAAAGGATCAACAGCAGAAGTTCAACAGGCAACTCAATGATTAGGAAATAAAGTGTGGAAGAATAGCAACCATATACCTTTTGAATCACTCGACAACCATACATTTGAAGACTGAGTGTTAAAACTTGACCTAAAAGCTTGCAAGCAAGTTCTCTTCTCTGAGCTGGAAGTCCATGTTCAAAAAACTGTACGTAGATGCGAATTTACTGGGTAAATAAAGCATTAAACATACTACTAAGCAGTATAAAGACTAAGAAGTAGATACCTTTTGAATGACATAATTACCAAACACATCAGTCATCAAAGCAAGAGATTGAGGCATGATTTCCTCATAAACCATATTTATCTCTTCAGTTGTAGCTGTTTCAAGTTTTTGCTGAATAAAACGGCTGCCATACTGATCCACACTACTCATAAGAAGAATAAAAATGTCAGGGCGACAATATGCAACATAAAACATGATTTAAGTTAACATACCTGAACTCAACAACATGACCCGAAATTTCTGAAAGTTCAAAACATTTTGTTTTATTGCTCTTAAACTCTTCAAGTAGGGAGGAGGCGAAGCTCTCAGACAGGTTATATCCTGCATATTCAGCGACACTCCCAGCAAGATTCCTTGTCCCAGAAGGAAACCGCATATTCAGGTCACTGTATCTGATCGGACTGCCAAGTCCAACTGGAGAGTTTGGAATACTAGTATTTGCTAAGGGGCTTCCAGGATATGACATGCCAGCTCCAAATGTGGAATTTTCATAAAAACCATGAAGATTAGAACTACCAGATTTAGCACCCAATGGAACACCATACTGAGATTTCTGTGGTGATAGCAAAGCCCCGAAATATGCCTTTTGCAGCTCAATCAAGTTCATGTAGGAGTCACCAAGGAAGTTCCTATCCATAGAGGGATCATTAAAAGGTGCAAGCTGTGCTGCAGCATAATCAGATGTCCTCAAATACTGAAGATACATTGGATCAACATAAGGTGCAGGCACAGCATTCCCAGCTATTCGGCCTCCAGCTCTACCAAGATTATGTGACTCAGATGCAGGATTTGAAATGTTCTGTCCAGAACCCAAGCTTCCCCCAAACACTCTGGAGTCCATTCCAGGGACTGGTATAGCTGATGCACCTGGCAGATTGCCAGTTCCAAGTTGGCTAGCCATCATAAAGGCCAAATCAGGATTTAAAGAATAGCCACTTAATCCATAGTTTGAAAATGATGAATTTGCACCACCATGCAGAAACTGAGTAGGTATGCTGCTTCCGCCATTGAGAGTGGAAGTAGGAGATCCTTTCAAGTAAAAATTGTTTGAGGATGCAGAAGATTTCTGAAACTCAGCTTGCCTATTACTCTTACCTGAAGGCACATCTAAATGCCCAGATTCAGCCTTCTTCAAGTATGTCTGCTGTTTGATATAATTCTGACCATCATGCAAACCCAAAAAATGATTCTGGTGAGTTTCAGCATCTTGTTCACTCTGGGATGGCAACTGATTATCTACATCTGGTGCACCATTTGATGACAGAGTCATAACTGATAAAGCAACTGCCAGATCTGCAGACTCATTGACACCAGATGTAACACCACCAAACGTGCTTGGACTATTCATGTTTCTTTTATCCGAGTTACCGACTCTGCCTCCACCAATTGGTGTCAAACAAGGACTGGGAGCCCTAGCAACAAGTTGGGGATCAGGAGTTGTACTCCTAGACAAGGAAGCCCCTACTGCAGTAGCATAAGTGTATGAAGAAGGTGGAGCAACGGCATGGACAGCAGACGAACTTTGAACACTCACACTTGACCTTAAAGCATCTGCAGAAGCCAGTTCATGCCGTAAATGAGCCAGATCAGATTCAGCAGAACCTAAATTCTCAAAGTTCTCATCAAAAGCATTTCGACTACCAGGACGAGACGGTATCCTTGTAACAGGAGCAGAGTAACCCAGATCAGCCTGCAAATATGTTAAACATTAACTCACTGCAGCAGCCAAGAAAAGAAGTTCCAGAAGTTTTTCAAGTATGAACAATAAGAAATTAGGGTTCAAGTTAAGGAAGATTAAAAACTTAAAACTTCAAAGGAGAATGATTTTGAGGAGTGCTTTGAAGTAGTCTATGATACATTATAAACAAGCTACCTACACGTGAACAAGAAGAAATTATGATTAAAAATATGCTTACTAAGTTTTACACGTAGTAATATAACTACCTTAGGATTAGGAATCAGTAGAATAAAAAATACTTGTATGTCACACAAATGATCATTTTGCAAATACATGAAAATAAAAATCTCGAAACAACTCGAACATAAATGCTAACCACAGACTTTAAAGAATTGACCCATGAAACTATAAGATCAACCACATTGACTGCTGAAAATTAGATAAAGAACGAATGCTAAAGAAACAATTACCAGTTTCAGCATCAAAAAGCAAAGACCAAACAAAATTTAATAAAAAAAAACTTTGAACAAAGGGCATCCATGATTAGACATCAAACCTGAAAAATTTCAGCGAGGCTTTTCTGTTTGCTTCCAAGTCCTACAGCAGACAAACCAATCAGTCCATCACCACCCCAGTTTGCTGATCTATGCACATTATCTGCATCTACTTTATTCTCTTGTTTCCTGGCATCAAACCCTGGTGGCATTGAAAACATCGATCGACTGATACCATTATCGTACCGATTCACTTTCCTCCTATCTCCAATCCCACCTATCACTGAATTCCCTCCTTTCAACCTCTGGGCAAACTTCCAATCCTCCTTGGAAAGTAAAGGAGGTGGGAGCCTTGGGTTGAGATTCACGTTTGAGTAATAGTATGAATGATAAGCTGGATCAGACCTTAGCTCTTCCTCAGATGCAAAACCATTTCCATTTTTAGCTCCTACAAGAGCTGAAAAAGCGGTAGCCCCACTACCACCACCAGCAGCAGCAATAGTAGCTCCACCCCCAAACAACCCGCCAACTGCACTAAGTGAACCCTCCACGGTAGGAGGTGCAGAGCCACTTCTATACAAGTTTAGCTCTCGTTCGAGATCATCAGCGTCTTGCTTTCTCCGCTGTTCTCTGAAAAATAACCCCATCTCCGACTCCATATCTCCAAATGATCCTTCACCACTTCCTACCATTGGTCTCCTACCCAATCCAGATAACATTCTTAAATTCCTAAATGATCATTAAGTTTTAACAATATTCCCAAAATCAATTATCGGATACTAACTTTTCCACTGTAATACACCTAAAATCCATATTTACAAACTCCAAATATGCTAATTTCAAGCTACCAAATGGGTGAAAGGTCAAAACTTTTATCACCCCAAACTCATAAACACAAAAACCCAAACTAATATTTTTCTTCAATTTTTGCTATCATAAAATTGATCAACAAAAAACATATAAGAGCATCATGTTTACCAAGTAAAACCAAAAACAACAAGAATTAAAAATATAGTAACATAGCTAGGGGAGGAAGCTTTGTTTTTGAAGCAGAGATCAAAGATGAGAGTGAAAAGAAGCTTGGAATATATGGAGAAAGAGTTTACGGCTAAGAACAAATCCGGCGGCTATTGGTTCTTATAATAACCATTTTAGGGTTTTTACTTTTTACAATTAAGGGAGGCTGGAATAAATACCGAGAGAGAGAGTAACATGATAAAAGAGACTTCTTTTAATTTTTCTTTTGCTTTGGGATTGTAGTATTTTTGGAAATTAATGCCAGTATTGTGTATTTCCTACAAATCAGGGATAATACATCAGATGATAACCGAATTACGTCAGTGAAAACTTTTTATTTTTGTTCATCTTGTATTCCAGAAACAACAATCTGCTGCAACTGACACCTTAACACTTTAGATTCACTATAAGTTATTTTGTCTTGTATTTTTACAATTTATGGTTTATTTCTGTAATTTTTTCTTAATATCTAAAATTATTCAATTTTCAAATTACAATTTACATACACTACAGGTAAAATCTTTAAATATCTAGACTTTATTACTCCTTCCGTTACTTTTATTTCTACATGGTTTTTTTTTTTTGAAACTTTTTTGTTTTTCATACATTTTTAACTTCTTTAGATTTTTTGCTCTGGATTTTTTTCCCAATCTTTACTTAGTTTTCTTTTTGTTTGATGGATATGGGAAATAAAGTAACTTTTTTTATAAGAATGAGGGGTCTCTTTAAAAAAAAACCTTTTATATTTTTCAACCTTCAAAAGGAGGCCGATTGATAGCCAAAAAGCAAAAAGAGTGCTTCAAATTCATTCAAATTTAAAGTATGCACACCGATTAATGTGGCAGAGGATAACAGCGCACTCCTTCACAACCTCTTCGATTTCTCGGACAAAAAGCAGGTAAGGGCCAGGACAATCGATCCATTCTAATACTGATTTGCAGTCGCATCCCAAAACCATTCTAAGCTTTTCCGGCACGTTTCAATTGAGGAGAAAATTGAGACCATGCTTGATAGCTAGTAATTCAGCCAACATGGGTGGACCTTGTCCGATAGCTTTAGAGAAAGTATCCAAAACATTATTGTCCGAATCCCGAACGATTCCCCCTATACCACCAGCAGACCAGTCCCGTTTCATTGCGCCGTCTACATTGATCTTAGTAAAGTCGGGGGAGGGGGACCAAACAGAATGACTGATAGTCGGATATCTTCTAGCTGGAGACGAATCAGCCAAAGACGGATCGCAAACTAGGCTGTCGAAAAGGATTGAGAATGAAGGATGCTTTAAACCAAGACATGAGTCTGAATTTCGTAAAGAAAAATAGTTGTAAGGAGTCGACAGAGCCATTGTTGAACACAATATAGTTTCTGAACTTCCAAATCGACCATATAACCGGGATGAAATTTCATCATATCGAGTCCTCTGAGGATGAAGGAGCAAGAGTGAACCATTGTATTAAGAATGAAGAAACATCACCAGGGAAAACTGAGGAAATGCTCCATAATCGAATGAACCTGTTCCACAGTTCCCACGAAACCTTGCAACCAATGAAGAGGTGGGAGAATGTTTCAACATCAGACCCGCAAACTGGAAAAATAGGGTCCGCAACAATTTGAACACCACGTTTTACCAGCTCGGGCTTAACAATAATTTTTTAGTGCATCACTTGCTAGACAAAGACTTCCACCTTGGAGGTGCTAGACCCAACCACAAAACTTTATTCCTAGACGGAGGATCCGCTTTCAGTTTAAACCATAGAGAGCAGAAAGACTATAGAAAACAGTCCATCTCCACTCTTCCTCACAATAGCCCGTCAGACTCCGCTCCAACCGAATTAAAATTGTTCAGCACAACAAATAATCCCTCCCACTGATCCACTTCCCAATCAAACAGCCTTTTTGAAGGGGAATGTTCCACTCCCATCCATTTGAAACCTTCGCCCCAAAATCTGATATTTTGCCTCCCTTACCTTTAGCAAGGGCGAAAATTCTTGGAAATTTTATCTTCAAAGGAACATTGCACACCCAACAATCTGTCCAAAACAGGATCGAATCACCCTAGGCCACTTGTATTCTGAAATTTTCTCTAAGGCAACGTCCAATCTCATTGTCCTTGAAGAACGACTTGTTGATGTCCCTCCATAGCCATTAGACAGAAGGAAGTTGCTGTTCCTTTGGGAGGACCGCTTCAACATCCATATTATACTTTGAGCACACCATACCCTTCCATAAGCTGTTTTTCTCATTTGCATATCTCCATACCCATTTACCAAGGAGAGGTCTTTCTAATAGATCAAGATCCGAAATTCTCAAACCACCATCTTCTTTGGTATACAAACAGAATCATATCTGTTCCAATGGATCTTGTTCCTTTCCTCTGAGTCATTCCACAAAAATTTAGACATCAAAGAATTCAGCTTCTTACAAACCTGCACCGACATTCTTAACAGCGAAAGGAAATAAATAGGCATAGAGGTAAGGACCAACTTGATCAAGACAAGTTTTCCTGCCATCGATAGATTATTTGCTTTCCAACTCGCCAATCTTGTATGGAATTTCTGAAAAATTGGCTCCCAAAGCGATAGCGAGTTTTTCTTGGGACCCAGGGGGAGGCCGAGATAAGTGGCGGGAAAGGGGTTTGCCTCACACCCAACATTCGCTGCCCAAGAGTTTAAAACTGTTTCCTCCACATTGATCCCATAAAGCTTGCTTTTCGTTAAATTCAATTTAAGTCTCGCAGCTAGTTTGAACACCCTTAAAATTCTTTTGATATTTTTTATTTGTCGTAGCGAAGAACTGCAGAAAATTATTAAATTATCCGCAAATTACATATGAGACAGCATGATCACTCTCTCTTTTCTGCCGATAAAGAAACCGATAAACAAATCCAAATCCACTGCTTTTGAGAGAATAAGATTGAGAGCTTCGCCATTGAAGAGCAAAGGTAAGAGTGAGCAACCCTGACAAAGTCCTCTGTTCATTTTAAAGCTCTCGGAGGGATACCATTCACTAAAACCAATATTGAAGCAGTCGAGATGCACTTTGAAATCCAGACACACCATCTATCTCCAAACCCCATTTCTTTCATCACCTTTAACAGAAAGCGTAAATCGACAGTGTCGTATACTCTTTTGAAGCCAATTTTGAAGGTCAATCTTTTTTCGATTCTCGTCAATCCTTTCATTTGCAATAAAAGTAACTTCTTTAATTATGGAAACTGATATTTGGTATGAGAAAATCTCAATTTCTAAAAATTATAGAATAAAGATTTTAGAATAAGATAACCGTGAGATTAAATATTAGATAAAATATAATAATTTTTGTATTTGGATAAAGTTTATGCTATAGTACATGTATTGACAAGAAAGTCTTCCACTTTTCATTCCTCCGGTAGTCGACAACTAATGCAATTTATCTCTCTATCAATATATATACACAAGCATTGAAGTGTGTCCATCATCATCATGATGTTATTATATTGGACTAAAACTACTCGAATAACATAATACAAGAGCACGAAACCAGTAAATGGCATTGAATATTAAGTTGTTTGATCAATCGATCAGCCCATGGGAAATGGGTTGAGGGTCCTCAAAGTGAAGCCTAACCCAACCCAGTTATTGCTGCCATTGGCATATTGGTATAAGAATGACATGCGTACAACCAAACTGGGTAAAACAAATTGATCATTCTTCTGTGTAGTACAATACTACAATCTTTGTAAAGTCAACGTTGTACTGCAAACTCAGAAGTGGCGAGCAAATCCAGGTCTATAATATTATCTCTTTTCCGCGTTTAGATTTTTAAGGGGGAAGTGATATCCATCAACTGTATCCATGGCTAGAGTTTCCACCATTGTAAAACTCAAGTCAACGTCCTTGTTCATTTTTCTTCTTCTTCTCTTGCAGTTCTCAATAACCAAAGGTCATGGTGGACACGATCACGAAGGGGACAACGGTGACCATGTAAACTTGCATGAGCATGGCTTAATCTTGGTGAAAATATGGTGTTTGATCATTCTTCTAGTGAGCACTTTTGCCGGTGGGGTTTCCCCTTATTTCTATCGATGGAACGAAAGTTTTCTCCTCTTAGGCACACAGTTTGCCGGTGGGGTTTTTCTGGGAACCTCTTTGATGCATTTCTTGAGCGATTCTAGTGAAACTTTCGGTGATCTCACAACCAAAACATACCCTTTCGCCTTCATGTTGGCATCCGTGGGGTATCTACTCACCATGCTTGGTGATTGCATAATCATCAGTGTTACATCAGGTGGTGAAAGAGACACTAGAGTGCAAATGGAAGTGGAAGAAGGAAGAACTGCTGATGACGAGCATCCCAAAGATGTAGGAATCGACTCGAATAATCCAGTTTTCTTTAGGACAACGTCCTTAGGAGACACTTTACTCCTTATTTTCGCCTTGTGTTTTCACTCAGTTTTCGAGGGCATTGCCATTGGTGTTGCAGGTAAGTTACTACTATACCTTTCGATCAACGAAGAAGCAACAATATTGGTCGTAACACGGTGTTACTTATTTCAGTAAATTTGTCTTCTGCAGGTACCAAGGGAGATGCATGGAGGAATCTTTGGACAATTTCACTGCACAAAATTTTTGCAGCAATTGCTATGGGGATTGCACTGCTGAAGATGTTACCAAAGCGGCCATTTTTGTTGACATGTGCTTACTCTTTTGCATTCGCTGTTTCCAGCCCCATAGGTGTAGGGATCGGCATTTCCATTGATGCCACTACTCAAGGTCATGTAGCTGACTGGATTTACGCTATCTCAATGGGACTTGCTTGTGGGGTTTTCATTTATGTTGCCATTAATCATCTCATTGCTAAGGGCTTTAAACCACAAGCTAAATGTTACTTTGACACGCCTTCCTTCAAGTTCCTTGCCGTGCTTCTTGGTGTTTCAGTTATAGCAGTTGTTATGATCTGGGACTGATATTGCAATCCCTCTTTGTAATCAATTACTATCCATGTAATTTCAAGAATTATCCATACTGGAGCGTATTTTGTGATTTTATTATATCAATATATATATATACACTCACACACACACACAAAATTAAACTTAAAGCGGGTGTAACATTAAAGTGGTAAAAGAAATAAAGGTTTGCATTGGCAATAAGAACGATACACGTCATAGATTGATAGATCATCAAATGGCCTAGTATGTAACTTGTTGATTTGCTGCTTCTTAACTGACCTGTGATCAAACAGGAAAGTGATCATCTTTCTTTCACATCTAAGAATAATAAAACAAGGAAAATTTTGACATCTTAATAGTTTTATTAGACAGTAACTTATGATTCTGTATCAGATAAGACGTCTACTTTTTTTGTTGAGTTTGATGATGATCAATTAATCATGATGCTTTAATCCAGAAGTTGCTGTATTTTCCCACTTGCTAACCAAAGAGAGCAGTGTTGAACTTACTATTTTCATATATTTCCAACAATTCATTTCTATCATTGAATCTCCCTGCTTTGATCCTGTTTTAGGTAAACCCTTGAAATGTGTATACTTCTGATGCTTCCACACGATTTTTGATTTCCTGGAAGTGGGAAAATTGAGCTGATTTCTTGTTGTTTCATCCTGTAGAAGATATCTTCTCAATTCCTTGCGTTTTCTTAGATACCCCATCGTCGAGATTACAGTAGATCTGCAGTAAGCCAGTATTTCTAGCACACAAAACCGAACAGTTTGAAGGTGACTTGTTCATAAGGTACGCAGCAAACAATTTCTTGTTAATTCTAGATTCTCAATCTGCATAGACCATAGTTTAAGATATTAATTTACTTGAAATGATTTGATCTTTTACAATATTTTTAAAATTGGTTGAAATCTTGTTTGATCATCGCAGTTACTTGTACTAGTCTTTTCTCCCCCGTAGACTAACAGATATAAGGCTCAGGAGCCAAAAGCTCTTTTAAGTTACATCATTATATTAAATGTCAGTTGCTTCCAGGTCTGTCAATGGTGGTTTACTTACAGTTACTACTTTTGTGTTTTAGCCTAGGTTGTCGTAGGACAGCAAAGACATCATTAATCTGATGGTTGACCTTTCATGTAAAACCTTAATTAGTTTAAGGGGGGGAAAACTTCCATAGATGCAAGATATTAGTGATGATTGATGAAGATATTAGTCTATTTTTATCAGACAAGCATATCTCCATGTTTGACATTGTTATTAGGAAAATCTTACCAAAAAAACATACCTGTGTCCGATATTTGCACCTAAATTCAAGTGACATAATCTGCTTTCATGTGAAATTCAACTTGCAATTTCCTTAGTGTTATTATAACTTTGAAAAACTTGCAAATTTTCTGTCAAACATAGTAGTGGTATCCCCTCGTTTTGAAGTAATCAGGGGATTAATAAAATATAGATAGAGTGTCGGTCATTTTAGCTAAAAAAGGATGCTGCTATTTGGTGAAGGCTTCAACTGAATGATGCAAGCATGATGGAACAACATGATTAAATGACTATAATACATGCATCTCAGCACAATTCTTGGTTTAAGTGTGTTTTCCAGTTTAAAAATAATTTTCCTTGTAATTTATTTCCTCATGTTAAGAAGGACTTAGCATTCAGGATTTTCTGCTCCTTCCAATTTAAGTTTCGAAAGAAATGCTTTTCTCCGATTCTCATGGATATCTTTCACCGTTCGTCTACATTTGAAGTAATCGTTTTCGACCCTTCGAATACCTGAAAAGCTTAGGCGAAAAAAGTTTGAACATACTCATGTTTAACACAAGCATAAAACACCATTATCGTATATTCATTTATTGCTACTACCCCAAGTAGAAGTTCTTCTTAGAACTAACCTGGATTGTAAAAGAAAGATCTCACCAAGTGTTAGCCACTCATCAAAAACCAGTTTCAGGGGTGAACCAAAAGCAAATGCCTAGACCCTAATTTAAAGATCAATCCAAGGTATTTCCCTTCCATCTTTAGCATAGGACTCATTTCCTTCCTCTTTTTCTGAAAGGGTAAGTAAAAGGATGGTTTCTCATTCCCAATGCAGATTCAATAGCCAATGATTTCCTATTATTATATTGGCAGCTGCAAAAGATGAAAGGAATCTCTGTGCCATCAATCAACACAAGAAAAGTAAGTAAATATGAACAAAATTGAAGAAAAAAAATTCAATCAGCCAAAAGCCACTCCAAAAGGATCAAATTTAAGGAGACCTCCTGATTTTGAGATCTGCTTTGGTTAAGATCTCAGATCTCAAGAGGGGGAAAAAAGAAATACAGGGGCAATGATTAGGGGGGGAAAAGCAAAAGACTTTGGTAGTTTAGGATTTGAGAGAAATCTATTTGTTGATAAGAGTCTTTTCTTACAACTATAAAACTTGTAGCTCTTCTCATTTTATAATTACAAACTGAACTAATTATAAACTGAAGGTAAGCAAGAAAAACTCTGACATTTATCCGTAACTTGATGCAGTGGATGAATAAAAATCCATGAGATTCAAGACAAACAAATCCAAGAACCATCTTGCATAAACGAGTGGAGAAAAGGAAAAGGAACCTTAATTCCCTACTGATCTATATATGATCATTATCTCCACTGATGTTCAAGAATCTCCGTGTTTATGCCAGCAGACAAGCATGGCAACACATCGCCTCATAATGTAAAATCTTGCCTTCTGTTCCTTGGCCACGCTACTACATTTCCGCGAAATGGTAGTCTTTTGTGAAAAACTTCTTGGTAGTGAACATTTAGATGAAGAAGAAGAAGTAGAGTTTTTCTGTGAGGAACTCCTAAGAAGGGGAGACTTGGAAGAAACACTCTTTGTTGATAAACTCCTTGGGAGTGAGAACTTTGAAGAACTAGAACAATGGGTGGTGCCTGAAGCTTCCTTCTTTGATAGCTTCCACTTCTCATCCATGTAATGAGCTCGGAGGCTGCAACACTAGCAATAATGGGATAGACAGTTCTCTCAGAGTTCGATCTCTTTAACTTAAACCTGATAACCTCTTTGTCTGCGCGTGGGAGAGATGAACAATGAAAAAAAAGAAGTTTAGAAGGAGATTTGACTGAGAAGGATTCTCAGGGCTGCAGACAGTTGTGGGGCTATATGTTGTTATATATATAGTAAAGTAGGGCCTTCCTCCTCACAATTCAAGCTTTGTTAGCTTTGATCTGATTAAACGTTTATTTATCATTTTAAAAGTGTCAATTCTCAACTCTCCTTGGGATTTTTAGAACTGAGTTTTGCATGTTATATTATAGGGACTGGACCATCATTGTTGCTGGCCTGGCACTATAAAATTGGTCGGTTCTATGAGGATTTGTGAAGCCCTCGTTCTTGGCTCATACATAAGATATTGCCCGATTTCTTCCCTCTTGGAGATCCATCATCTCTTTTTTCTAGACACAATTGTCGTAAGGGGCTCCATAATAATGTCAGTTTTTTAAGTTTACATCACAAAAGAACACACACATGAGAGTGAGAGAGAGAAAAACAAAAGGGGAAAGAGGGGATTGTGGGGTGGGGTCACACTAGTGTTAGCTGCTTCTTGTGATAAGGCTTGTGTCCCTTTGTTGGCAGTGTTTGAGGTTAATTTTTTTCAAATAATGCTCTTTTGCAAGTTAGTGAATGGAACTTACACTTTTTACATTGCCATTTTGATTCTTCATAGAGAGTCTCAGAAGCTATAAATGTTTGAGGGGGGGGGGGGGGGGGGGCTCCTTTGGTCTTCTCTCCCCAGTTTCATGTTTGAGGCTTAGATTTCACATATACCTTCCCTACTTGTGGTTGCACCACTTCTTTCTCTTGGACCCAACTACAAACCCCACTACCATTTATTGCTTAATCGTAGTCCTTAGAAACACTGATATTACATCGATTTAAGCATCGAAATCACGCTTTAGAGACATAATTCCAGTACCATCTGATATTTCTGTCATTATGGACCTCTTCCAACCACCATTTGACAAATTCAGGAGTTCAGGCAGTAAGTTTTCCCATTACCATGTAGTTTAATATCAATGGTAAATTAACTTTTAGCCACTCTAAGGCATTTCTGATACCATATGAATTGTTAGGAATCTGTAAGCAGAGCAATTACTGCAGTGAAGCGTAGAATCTCTAGCAATCCAACTTTTTTATGGTCTTATTTCATTTTTCAACTTAATGGATATTGTCACTTTTCCTTCCACAATGGTAGGTAAAGCAAAGAGCATTTATCTCTGATTTTCTTTTATAAAACTCTCCCTAATGTGCAGGCATGATTAGAAGAGGATATCAGTCCATGACCACAATTTTGTGATAAAGAATATGCACCTCCATGACTTTCTTATAGCTGAAAACAGCAGTTGGATTCTGCTGAATATGCCCCACCGACCAGCACATCAAATCATAAAAACTTGGTGGTTTTCAACTTGAAATCTTGGTCTCAAAGCACTATTTTTTTATAGTTATATTTTAAATGGTGCTATATATTATTATGGATTATAACAGCTAAATTAAAAGCATAAAATTGTTTATGGGAATTAGGGATTCACATGCACATGCAACCTTCTGGATCAGCAAACAGAAGCTTGAAATTTCAAATATATATACATGGTTATTCTTCAATATATAAATACATCCTATTATAGAATATTTCACCAGTGTGCCCTGTGGAGGTTCACCATGTGATGCAATTGATTTCTGCAATAATGTTTCTTCTGGTATGGGGACAACCTGCAATGAAGATTTCTATTTATTTATTTTTTGAATAATATGGGGGATTACAAATTTACAAATCAGTATTGTTTAGAATCTTTTTAACTATTGACAATGTAAGTACACACTATAGAGAGAGTTGCTCGAACCAAAGACCTCTAAAGAGAATAATACTCTCTTTAACCACCGAAACCACTTGATGAGTTCAGATTGAGTTCAATGTATTGAATTAGAGTACTTCTCAAAGAAATCCTTATATTATATAGATTATATGTTCTCTCAGATTACTGGTCTAATTTCCTTATATTTTAAAAATGATTAAACATATACAAATGCTTTTATATGATATCAAAAACTACTGGTCTCATTTCCTTTCTCTGTACTTGACCTTTTCTTTTTAGTTATATGAATTAAGATTATTGGATTTGATTGGTCAACTTATGGTAAGGGTGGGTCAAAATCAAATCACATGGTGTGTTGTGGATGCAATACAATCCATCTTTTTAAGCCTATTTTAGGGTTTGGCAATAATATTTTTGATTCTTGCTAAATAGTCATGTGGGCTTTGAGAATATCAGCATTTGGAGTCCCACATGAAGACATGTGACCCATAAATTGATCAAAAAGGAAAAACAGGTCAAAAAAGTCATAAATTTATTTCTGGAAGCATCTATTAATAAAAAAATCCATGAAAACTTCAGTCGAGAAGACTCGCACGTTTCCACGTTGTTTGTTTACTGTCTATTTTCATTACGGGGTGTTATTGAAGCAACCACCCTCTTTCTGTTGTTCAGATCTTAACTAATGTTCTTTTTTTCCCTTTCACTCTGAAATTACAAGGAAATTCAGGTCTCATAATTAATTATTATTTATTTGTTTTGAAATTTGTTCAAAGTTACAACAACTCGGTAATGTTTACAAGAGCGACATGTTCAATACCCGTAGGACTCTACAAATAATTGCTTGGTAGGTTAGGTCCACACTTATTCATAAGTACCCTAATTGCTTTGGGCCCATTTGTCCCTTTGAAATATTATTTTTTTAAATCACATCAATAAAAGTGTGGACCTAACCTACCAATTATCTGTGCTCAACAAAAGGTTCTATGATTTTGAATGTCAAATCACCTCTATTATTATAAAGTTATTTGTACCTTTTTGAGTTCAAATTTTAATATTATATTTCGAGTTCGAGTTGAACTAGATAATTTTTAGTTCGTGAGTTTTTGAGTCGAGTTGAGCTTACTTTTAAAGTTTTCGTGTTCGAGTCGAGCTCAACAATACTCGAATTTGACTCGGCTCGTTGAACAAACGACGTCGTTTAGTTTAATTTTTTTAAAAAAGAAAAAAAGTGAACAGGCGGTTCAAACCGATTTTGCCGGTTTTCAACCGGTTCCCCCGGTTTTACCGATTCATTGTCAGTCCGATTTTGTGAGGTAACCGGACCGAACAGGCCACCGGTTCACGGTTCAACCGGTTAAACCGATCGGTCCGGTTCGGTTTTGATAACCATGGACGATAGTACTAACCCTAAATTATTGATCCGTAACTGACTCTAGTTTCTTTAAATTTTATAATTTTTATCGAGTTTATATTTTGTATATATAAGTTATATATATATATTTATTTTAATTAATTAATTTACAAAATTTTTGTATGAAAATAGTAGATAATTTTTTTATTCTTGTATTTAATTATTTGTTTTCTCTTATAGTAATTTTTTCTCTCATGTTTAGATTAGACATCATCTTTGTAAAAATCTATTATTAATCTAGATCATAGAATCAATTCTCTTTTATTGATAATTACTCACATCACTAAGTATAAATCATGTTAAGTTGCAATAAATCAATTTATCAATTCAAGTAATTATTATAAATAACTTTATATTAATAGTAATGGTTTTTTTTTTGAATGAAAAAAGGAAAGCTAATTCCTAATGTCTATGCTCCAATAGTGTGCACACCTGGCTTTCTTCCTGTACCAGTCCTCTGCAACCAATTGTTTTAGTGGAATAGCTCATCTTTATTACATATATACATATAGTTTTTCTTTGCCTTTAATTGGCTAGCTAAAGGATTCATCTCATCACAAAGTATTTGACTTGACAACTACAATGAAGTAAGCATCGAGTTGCCAGGTATCCAATCAATGTCATGGTTTGAATGTAATATATTCATAAAGCCAAGGTTTTTTAGTTACCTTTATGACTAATTGATTTAGTGGAATAGCTCAGCTTTATTACATATATGTAATTATATTAATTTCTTGGATATACATATTCAATTTCTTAAGCTCATCGAGAATAAATTGTTATAGTCTGAGTGTTGTTGAAGGTCATAAAATTTTATCCTTATAATTCAATTCCCTAACAACTAACCTAGATTGAATTCATTTATTCCACTATTCCATCGGTGAAGATTATGATCATCATAGAACGTCCTCAATAAAAGCATAAACGAAGCAAATTTGCGACCTTATATACAAGATGCCCCATTTTGTTCGCTTCTATACATACCTGAATGTCAGACCCTTTGACCATCTCTTCATGAGAGGAGAAGGCTATCTCGGCCTTTCTAAGAGAAGGGTATGATGTTCAGGTATATCTACTGGAGAAGGATCAAGGGTTCTTGTTTTAAGAAGGTTTAATCTTGCCACTTTCCAATATGCCATAACTTTGATTCCAAGAGATCATCTAATTTAATTGATATTAAAAAAAATCAAGTTCAAAATTTGCTCATTATTCATAACTTAGAAGGTAGCATTTTATTTAACATGTTCAAAAAATTTCAGTGACTTATAAACTTGTAATCATAGGAGAAAAAAAGAAAAACAAATTCAGACAAAATGATATGTTTTTTTATGAAAGTGAAACAAAGCTTCGTGATGGATACAGATGACTTTTTTCTTGGTCGTAATGCCCCATTACTTATCGAATTCCAATGCCTCTGAATCAATCAGATTTTGGACCTTGCGCTTCAGTTCCCCAAGCTTCCTATGTGGTAGTTACACACCACGTTGACATCATAACCTCTGAGATACGGGGGTTCTTTTGGCTTGGACTGAATCAGAGTCATGAGATTCTTTTCAACGAGTGTTGAAAGCAATTCCTCACATGTCATTGGAATCAGGTCAATATGATTCCTTCCTTAGATCAACCTATGTTCGACTGAATAAGATACCACCGTATTGATTTTAGCTTCAATTCTAGGTTGTCGTTCTTGATAGCTCTTCTAATCCTCTCTCCACACATGACGATATCAAAAAAATTCTTTATAGAAACCCCTAGCATATTGCTTATATGGAGATTTCAACCTGTAGATGAACACAGTGATGAACTCCCTTTCGGTCATCTCTATGTTTTACAGCGTTGTTCGTCCAGGGGCCATTTCAGTCATAAGTTTGTATTGACTCAAACAAGTATGAGCTAG